TTGCAGTCCAGTGCCCATCCTACAGTGCTACAGCAGCCCCACCCAAAATAACTCCACTCACTCCCAAACAACTAGCAGTACTGGTTAAATATATTTAGGCACCTACTTAAGTTTTTGGTGTGGCACTGTAGGATAAGCAATGGGCTGCTGATCACAGGTTGGCAATTTGAACCCACCAGCCACTCCTCAGAACCCTATACAGAGTCTCTATGAGTCAGAACCAACTCGATGGCACTTCAGAATCACAACGATAACTTAGAATCCCTGGGTGATGCAAACAGATAAGCACTTAGCCATGAAGTGAAACACTGGTTGTTTGGGTCCACCCATAAGCAAATTAAAGAAAGACCCTACAATTTACTTCAAACAATCAACCATTGAAAGCCCTATGAAGCACAGTTCTCCTCTGACTTACAGAAGGATTACCAGGAGTCTAGATTGACTCAGCAACACCTGGAAAATGATACTCTAAATTGTAGTAGCACTTTAGTCACAACATAATCTCAGGAAATTCTACATAGCTTATTGTCTTCAGTGTTTCCAGTAGAAATTTTTTTTTTTTTTCTAATTACTTTCAATGATTTACTTACATGTTTTTTAGATATTTTTACATACTACTATTTGCTTTTTTCTCTTTGCTTGCTTTTCACCTAGACCAGGAGGATTGATAGCACTTATTGTGTGCCAGGTTCTATATATTTTACTTTTTCTTTTTTAATGTCTTCCTAGTCACCCAACTTAATAAGCCTCTACCCTCTAGCCAGTGAATGATTCTGTTTTTCCATTTTGACCATCATAGACTGTTTCTTTTATCATGAAAACCTTTTCTTGATTTTTTATAATAGTTATTATTGTTGCTGCAGAGTCAATTCTGACTCATATGACTCTGTATAGGGTTTCTGAGGAGTGCTTGATGGGTTTGGGATGCCGATATTTTGTCTAGCAGTCCAGTGCTTCTCCTACACCACAATATCAGGACTCCTTTTACAATAGTGGCATCATACAATATTTGTGTGCTTACATATTTTTAATACATATATAAACTCTCACTTATGTATGTGAGATTTAGATCAGCACTAAAGTTCACAAAACTCAGTTAATATTAACCCAGAATAAAATTTAATTAATTCTATAGAAAAATACAAGGAAGAAAAATCAGAATGCACAGTATTCAGCCTAAGTAGGGATTCAGCAATCATCCAAATGCAGTTTCTTAGCTGCTTCACTTTTTGCTGTCTAGGTACAAGGCCTGGTTACAAGACACAAGCCCAATGTTTGTCATGACTTGGACATATTATAAATTATCTTTATTTTTCATTATAGGGAGAAAAAAACAATACAACTTAGAAAGACACAAGATAGTTTACGTAACTAAACCAAGCTGAACAAAGATGTGCAATGAAATGAATAGTGGTGGTCAATGGAATCACTAAAACACATTTCAAGACTTCTCCCACTAACTATAAGATGTTTTTTAAATTATGATGACTTTCCACCAATAATAGGTTTACAAGGGATCAAGATCTCTTTTATTTTTTTCCAATGTACATGACATTGAAGATTTGAAATACATAGGAGTCTAAGAAATACAGTTGCTTTCAAACAACCTAGTAATTACACTGATGTAGGAGTCCTTTTTTAAAAGAGAAGCCCTCTAATTCAGGAAGCATTATTTAATTGTATTTTTATCATTAATAGGTTGCTGCAAAAATTAATATATCAAATATTCAGTGAATTTCACTTTCTGCAATGCCATACCGTTGGTCTAATTTTACATTCAGGAAATTTCTCTAAAGCATTCTTTGTCTTTCCGTGTATTTTGATATTAACTTATGAGTCTATTTCATAGCTAAGATATCTTTCTCCCTAAGGAATAATTTGATAACTCCTTCCCGGATCTGCTTAGTCTTGACTCCATAAACAATGGGGTTCAAGGTAGGAGGCAACATCAAGTAAAGATTGGCAATAATGATATGGACATGGTGGGGAATGCTTTTCCCCCCAAAACGGTGAGTAAAAATAGTGAATAAGGCTGGAACATATGTGATGACAATAGCACATATGTGGGAAGTACAGGTGCTGAAGGCCTTATGACGAGCATCTGCTGACGATAAACTCACCACTGCTCGCAAGATCATTGTGTAAGATACTGAGATGCAAAACATGTCAAAGCCTCCAATCAGGAGAGCTGCCAAGAGACCATAAATAGCATTGATCTTGAAATTGCCACAGGATAACTTGGCCACAGACATGTGGTCACAGTAGGTGTGAGGAATGACTTTGCCCTGGCAGTACGGCAGACGCTTGGTGAGGAAGGTGAATGGCATGATGAGCATCACACTCCTCAAGAAGGTGGCAAAACCAGCCTTGGCAATCACAGGGTTGGTGAGGATGATGGCATAGCGTAAGGGGTAGCAGATGGCCACGTAGCGGTCCAGCGCCATGAGCATGAGCACCCCAGATTCCATCGCAGTCAACATGTGTACAAAAAACATCTGGAAGAGGCAGGCATTAAATTTAATCTCCTTGAGGTTAAACCAGAATATGCACAGCATATTGGGTACAGTGGTGGAGCACAAGGTGACATCTGTGAAAGCCAACAGGGCCAAGAAATAGTACATGGGCCGATGCAGTGCCTCCTCATGGCCAATGAGGTAGATGAGCCCACAGTTCCCCACCACAGCGATGATGTACATGAAGAAGAATGGAAGAGAGATCCAGATGTGAGCAGTTTCCAGCCCAGGAACACCATTCAAGATAAAGAACCCTGGGGTCAGGCTGGAGCTGTTGGCCCCAGACATAATGACCCATTAAAGGGCAATTTACATTCTTTAACAGCAATTGCTTTCTGCATAGAAAGGAGAAAGAGAGAAAAATGTAGATGCCAGATAAGAAGGAATTGTTCAGACCGTAAGACTCATAAATGTCAAGAACTATGATCTTGTTTTGAAAACCGGATTTTTGTTTGCAGCTCTGACACTAATGTCTTTGGTCTATAATGTCTAAAATTAAGTAAGCAGTTCAGCTTTACACCATGATACTCATTGTCCTATTTTATACTTTGTCTAGGTAACTGCCTCACTTTCTACACTGATATTCAGAGTTCCTCCTACACTCACCACATCACAATAACAACACATGATGGGTTGCAAGTGTCTTTTTCATTCCCATAAATCATCTTTATTCTCTCCTCAGATTTTCCCCAAATGCTGTGTACATGAGTCCTGTCCCTAAATTCACATGGCTAATTAGAGTATAACCCAAATATGACCAGTTCAGATCAGCAGTTTAACATTATACTTTTAACGTAAAAATTAAGTGTTGCCAATAATGTCTTAGATAGCTTGCTCAAGATCATATATGGTAGATACTCAATGAAAATAAGGGATGATTGATTTAGTCAAGATCAGGTATGTTTAGTAGTCAAATTCTATTTATCTGATGTCAATATCATGCTTTTCAAACTATGTGACATTGCTTAGGAAATTCTTGACAAGGAAAAAAAATACGTTTCTATATTAGTTCTGTGAAATGTTAGTAAATATTTAAAATGTTGGGTCTAGTCAGATACAACATCGTTTCCTTCTGGTTTTCCCACCTTGTACATTTTTTAATTTCTCGAACCATCCTCAATGAACTCAAGCATACCAATGATCATGAAGATAGCTGAAGCCCTGCCAACATTTTCTATTGGTCTATATAGGTCATTATAAGTCAGAGCAGACTTGATGGCAACTAACCACAGCGCATGCTCAATATTAACATTACAGCCAGAGAGCCATTGAAGGACCTAAGTAATACTGATTGCCTTTTCTTATTTAATTTAAATAATATGCCTTTTGTCATAATTGAACAAATGATCAGTATAACAGATACACCATATCTTTTCACAGGTCTTTCTTGCTGAGGAAGTAGAAAGCTGTGAGCGGTATTTTAAATGTACATATTCAGGAGTAGCAAACATTCCAAATGACTAAATTCATATTAATTCAATTATCTACTCATTTATATATCTTACTAAACATCTACAGTGTATGGTCTTGAGCAAGTTAGATAAAGCATTATTGGCAAATTTTATATGGGATATTAAATTTTGTCATCATGTTTAAGGTAAAACTAAAATAAATTTTCTGCTGCTGTTAAAACTAGAAAGTGAACCGACTAATGATCACTAGTTCAAACAGAGTGATTCTTTAGTTACTCGTGTGGTTTTAGTGATAAGACTCACGTTTTGTAAGGAAAATTGAAGATTCAATTGGTTAAAATATTTGTTACTTGACCAAAGAAAATGACACGATGAACATATCTAATATAACTGAACTATACATAAGATTATTGAACTGGAAAATGTTTTGTTACTTACATATTTACTGCCACAATCAAAAAATTAGCAAGAAAATGGTCCTTAAGCTCTGGAAGAGTCCATGTAGCTCTGAACTCAATGCCAAACACCTCCACCAACAAGCAGAACTAAATGGACACTTTGTGATAGCATGAATCACATGGATGTGAAACCACATGACATATAGTCCTCAACCTAAATATTCAGGAAATTGGTTCTGGATTTGTGGCTCATCCCCTACCCAGAGTACACAGCATCTGCTATGGAACTTCAGGTTTAGAGTTGGATGCTCTCTGGTTCCAAATCTGTTCAATCTCAAGAAAACAACCCCTTCTTATCAGGGAAATCTTATAATCCCTCTCCTTAAATATCACTACATGGAAAAACAATTCTTTCATAGTTTTATAACAGAGAAAATTGGTGATCAAAATTCCCAGTGTCCCTAAACTTTTATTTGTATTCCATGTTGAAATTAGGTGAGGTCAATGGAAAACGGACTAGGTATAGTCAGAGCCATCCTGATAGAAAAGGAGTCAATACCTGTTTAGAAGGAAATGAGAAATAAATTGCCTTTTGCTAACTTGGTTTCTTGTTAACTGTCCCCATATTCTAAGATGTGGTATTCTTAGCCAGCAATTTGCATTTTCCTAAAATAGCTATTTTTTGCAAATTGCCGAAACTCACCTCAGTACTAGGCACAGTTAAAACCTTATGCATGGCTGAGAAGCCTTAGGAGTTCTTCTGAATCTGAGTTGACATCTTCTTACATAAGGTTTCTAGTTTCCTTGGGGAATCACTAGCAAGATTTCTCAGGCTTATTACTTACTTCTCAATTAAAAACCTCAGTGGGATCTGTTATAAAGGAAATTAATTTTGAGCTTGATGGTAACAGATCTGTGTTGAGAAACTTTTGAGTACCAAAACAAAAATTAAATAAAAATCTAATGCATTTTGCCAAGAGGAAAACATAGCCAAAAAGCCTAGTGATAATGAATATACTTTTTAAATGATTTTGACTAACAATAGAAATGCATCTTCAATATAGAAAATCTGGAAACAATAGGAAAGTATAAGAATTGGAAACACCACTTGTAATCCCAATACAGAGGAATAATCATAGTTAAAGACATTGTTGTGTATTTTATTCATTTATTTTGTAATTATTGTGGGCTAGGTGCTGGGCTGCTGATAACAAGGCTGTTTAAAACCAATAACCGCCCCTCAGGTGAAAGATGAGTTGGTCGACTTCTATGAAGATTTGAAGTCTCTGAAACCCTATATAGAGCCTTCAGGAGTCAGAACTGACAAAATAACAGTGGGTTTGCTTTGGGGTTTTATGTATAATCTAAAAAAAAAAAAAAAAAACAAATTTCAAAGCATATGGAGTTTTGTACTCTCTTACTTTCTCCACATTTTGTAAACATTTTTTTTCCATACAATTACATGTTGTTGTTTTAGGTACCCTCACATTGGTTCAGACTCATAGAGACCCTGTATAGCATTTATGAGGAGCGGCTGGTGAATTTGAACCACCGACCTTGTAGTTCAAAGCAACCTTTCCATCCAGTGCTTATCCTATAGTGTCACCATTATAAGAAGGAACTTTAATTTTGTAGAAAACAGAATTAAAAAATTGAAATAAAAACTTTATTTTTCAGTGTAACTCCATTAGGGTCAAGGCACTTTTGGAAGCAACAAATGACTGATAACAAACATTACTTCCCAAAGTGCCTTGGAAATTTAACCATGTCAATGGAAACTTACATGGCTGCCCTTTAAAGTTTTTTTTTTTTTCACATTAGAAAACAAAACAAAACAAAAGCTAGAAGTAACCAAATGAGAACTGTAAGGTGAATGCCTAATCATTTCCCATTGAAACTCTCACAAAATTGCCTTGTTAGATGAGAGTAGAATAGTCCTGGTAGAGAAGGGGAAGCTCTCCGAGGAGGCATTTTTCTGCTAAAGCTTTGATCAACTTACTTAAAACACTTTTGTGATAAGTAGATGCTATGTGGCACTGTGGGATAAAGCACTGGACCCCAAGGTTGTTTTGAATCACAAGGGTGAAGGTTCAAACTCACCAGCTGCTCCTTGGAAACTATGTAGGATTGCTATGAGTCAGAATACTCAAGGGCACTTAACAACAATATAGATCTTTGTTCTCCCAGGTGGTTAACAAGCAAAATGCTTTGAGCATCTTCAAAAAACTGTTGCCATGACCTGTGCTCTTGACTAATTCAATTTTTTGATCAAAATTAGATTTTCATTTTTCGTATACATTGCTTTGATTGTGCTTTGTCTTCAGTTTCATGCTGGTAAAGCCATGTTTCATCATATTACAATCCTTCAAGAAATACTTCAGGATCTTGATCCCAATTGCCCACAGCTGATCTGGGCAGAATAGTTTGCGTGCCTTTGAATGGAAAATACCAATTGAGATGTCTATGGTATTGGATATTACTTCTGCTGTTAATCATCAGTCCTCTTCAACTAGGGCATGGACAAGATTACTTTTTCCTCACAAATTGATGCGGATGTGCTAACACTGTATGTTTCATCTTCAACATTCTGTCATTCTTCTTCTTTTTTTTTTACAGTAATACAAACACAAGTTTAATCTAATTTAAAATAGAATTTTACAAAAATTAAATTACCTAAAATTAAGTCCATCATTGTACTTAAATATCTGGTTCCACTTCCTAGGTTAAGAAAAGACAATCCTGGTTTCAATGCTTCCATAACTTCAGAATAAATGCAAGGTGTGGACAAGCGGATGTTTCCATGGACCAAGTCTTTGTAAGCATTGTCTCTGTTGCCTTCCAAATAGTTATCTCCATGGTCAATAGCTCTGAAGGCTTGCTCTACTCTTTCAGTGTGGATATACAGAGCTTCTTTTAAGTTACCAATTAAGTCATCATTATCTTCTCCAGCACTCACAGCTCCTCCCATGATAGTATTAAAATCAAATCATAAATGAAAAAATAAAATTAGCAGAAATGGCTTCAACAATGATGTGGCTTGTTTTCCTCTTATTATTGCACTTGATTTCCAAAAATACATTAATCCTGTGAAATGAAGAAGCTAAATTATACGATGCTTAAGGTTCCCCAGAGCCCTCATTCCCTGTTACTGCAGCATCAGTGAAGCCTGCGTTTGCATAAAGCCCAGGGTGTCACCAGACATGACTGGTCATTCTCCAGCATGCTGTTACGTTGGTCACGTCTTTTACTTCCCACTCCTGTCATTTTCTTTTTGAATCTGCCGGGCTCAGCGGCCCGGAGCTGACAACTTGGCGAGACCAAACAGCAAGACCAAGTGGGGGAGCAGACACACCATGGAAAACCGCCACAGGAACCTCTATGCCAGTGGTTCAAGGAGCTGTGGTTCTAGTTGTTGTTGTTGTAAGTGCCGTCAAGTCAATTCTGACCCAGAGCGACCCTGTATAGGGTTTCCAAGGAG